GAGGAGCAGCAGTTGCACAGCGGCAGCGTTGCCACGCGGCGGGCAGATAACGGACCAGTAATGACAAGCGGCTAATTCAGTCCCCTGCTCCACTGTAGGGTGAAGTCATTGCAAAGGTAGCATTGTAGTTAAGCCATCAGGCAATAAGCATTGTTAGGCAGGCCAAAGGCCAGCAGGCTTCGTGAAGAGAGCGTCGGAGTTTTAAGTGCGGATGTGATGTATATGCAAGACAGAGGTATAACCTTGGAACAGTTATTTTTCTTACAGTAACTTATTTATGTATTTTAATATATTTTGTAGTTAAGGCATCGGCCTTTTCCATTAAAACATAGACTAGTTTGACTGCTTTTGGTCTGATTTAGTTGGGGAGATGCGTACGGTTAAGTTTATTGGGGGGGGGAACAAAACCCAAACCACTTTCCTGGTTTGGCTGCGCAGCCTCTGTGCACACTAAGCACTTAAACTCTCTGCGTCGGAGAATCCCGGGTTTCATTGCAGGGATGTGCTGCTTTCTAGGTAAACTGCAGTTCAGTGCACTAGAGGCACCAAAGGGATAACGTCTCCTTGCTGGCTTTTAAGCCAGAAGATCTTTGAAAGCCGTCCAGTTCCACGATCCACGCAGGTAGGAAGCGGTCCGTTTCGTAGCTGAGACTCTCCCCACACCTGGACTGCAGGAAGTTTTGCTTCCAGCTACTGGTTCCGTGCTGCTGCTGGAAAAAACTGCAGATACTGGGGTGGGCAAGGGTGCATTTCAGGAACAACAAAAACAAACTACGTGCCCAAGCTGGTGCGTGCTTATGAAGAGCTGACAGTACTTAATGGGATCAAAAGAAGAAGGTATTGAAAAATCTCCTGGTTCAAACCTGTTTATTAATTGTGGGATCTCTTAGAATTGGATTAAAATATTACAGTAAGGCTGTATCTTAGATCTAAAGATATTTTAGAACCTTTGCCAAAGCAAATTTCTTCTAGAAGCTAAAAATATCCTGCACAGGGTGGAGGTTGGGCCCCAGTGCTCCTAGCTCCCGCACCATTCATCGCGTCTACCGCTGTACAGATGGGTGTTTGCAGCGTGGGCGGGAAGGAGGCAGTCCACCGCCGTGAAGTGAAGCTCTCGGGCAGCTTCTCGAGGCTGTCAGGAGTATTCGCGTCCTGTAACTGGGCTGTCTCTTACTTGCCCCTACTGAATTAAAGCCAGCAGCCCATGCAACCAGTTGAACGGGGAACGTGATTCTTGCAATGTGTTTTAATCCCCAAAACGGCCCCTTGCCGCTGCTTCGGCCCCTTCAGTATGGAGAGCTGCGCTGCCAAACGCGCAGATCTCTGTCACTTCAAATCTGCAGCAGGAGCTCATTTGAATCCTTTTGAGAACCTGGTTGGCAGTCAAATCCAGCTCCTCGGTAAAAAGGGTGGTGAGCCACCCATGCTGTTCTAAGCAAGTGAGCTTTAAGACTTGATTATGGAACAGTCTCCTGGCACAAGTGCTGGGCTTTCTGCCACCTGCTGTACCTGTTCCCACTGTTCCAACCTCTCCTTTTGTTCTTTACGTTCAAAATCCTAATGCTTGCTTACTTACACCGATGTAGTCCATTCAACGATAAAAGAGTGGCTCTGATCAGAAAGCAGCTTTCCCATCAGCCTGATTTTCAGGGCTACACACCAGGCACTTCCAGTCCCAGCTCTTTAGCTCTTGGCGGTGAGGTCAGTCCTTCGGTCACAGTCCAGACCTCTGATAAGGCGGATTTCCCCCGGCTAAGTTTCTGACAACAAATTCGTCATTTATTTTCCCGTAAAAACTTTTATCTTTGCCAAATGTAAAATCCGCGTCCCGTAAGCTGAAGTGATACCAGCTTTGCAGTTGCCTGTTGAAATACAGCAGCCCTTGGCTGGCGTGCAGCAGCCAGCTGTCGTGAGCTGAACCTGCCCCAGGAGATGGGTGGCAAACAGTCCCTACCGGTACGATTCAGCCCGGGACTAACGCCTAGTGATCTGGTCCCAGCAGGTAAAGCCGCTGGTCAAGTACAGAATAACCTCCGAAACCACACCGGTAGAGCTACGTGTTGCTAAAAATTCAGGGGCAAGGCTGCTTAGATGGCACCGCACCTTGGTACGTGCGCTGGGGATCGGGTCTAGACCACTGTCCTGCCCCGCCGGGGCACTTCACTGCCTGCCTGGAACTTCAGTTTGGGCTGGAGCCTTCCCCACAGGGCCCCTTCGCTGCCTGGGAAACACGCTGCGGAAGTACCGTGCTGGATCAGCGCCCGCTGAAGAGGGATCTACGTAACAGCGATTTTCAATGCCCTAGTTCAAGTTCCAGTTTGGAGTTTAAGAAACCGAAACAATTGGAACTGACACTGGACAACAGGTTGTCTGATTTTTAACCCCTGTTTCTCCAAGTCCCGTGGATTGCTGCTCACCTCAGTTAATACTAACTCACTGAATACCCGGTGTCAGAACTTCTTTCCTGCATGTTTATGAATGCCGAAACCCTTCCTTTGGTCTACAGCTAAACTGTTTTCTCTTGCTCCACATCGAATTGCTCCTGTTTTCAGCTACTTGGCCAGCTGATAACCACCAAATCCCGAAAAGTTCTTTGTGAAGCATTTGCGTAACTCAGCACTTCAGTAACTGAAAGCTGCTGGTGCCCTGCATCGAATGCCAGGCTTCGGGGGTGCGGTCAGCGGCTGGGAAGCGTGCGTCCTCGTACAGCCGAGCTGATCGACGGCTGCACGAGGCTGTCTTGCCTGGTGTGAAGTTTGATCTGTGTTGCTCGCACTCCATAACTCTGTTCGCTTGCTGTTCTCGATCCTATCTTTCTATATTGTCCTGCTCACTCATTTTGTGGGTATGTATATATTTCGTATTCCTTTCCATAATGGTCAGGGTACTTTGCAAGCAGCTACACCTAATTGTAAATACAGGTTTGTATCCAGCAAGAGCACCTATAGAGAGGGCTCCCGTTATCGGCGCAGTCTAAATGAAGACCCCTCTCCCCAGGCAGCTCACGTCGTTTGAAATTTCGGCGAGCGGAGTCTTTCCCCTGTGCCTGCAGCGCCAGCCGTGCGTGGGGCTGCCTGTGGCTTTCGGGACTGAACCGGAAGGGTGGGAGAGCGGAGACGTGTTGATTTTTTAAATCTTTGAATGCTAACTGCAAATTTGGCTTCTTAAATTACTTCATCTCAGTCACCGGAGGCAGAAGGGTGGTTCCGTGTGTGATCAGGTAGATAGGGGCTCGCTCAAGTAGAGGCTGGTATGCCCTCTAGTGTATTCTTTATTATTTAAAAGCAGCGAGCTTCAGAGCGCCCAGCTTCTTCCCAGTCTTCTGGGAGGCTGTTCCAAGCTCTTAGGTTGGCAATGCAGTAGAATAAGTAACTTCGTTTTGTTCATTAATTTACTCCCCGCTTTGCCTAGCTGACTGTGCTGTGAATAGCTGTGGTATCTGTCACCTTTGTTCAAAACGACCCAAACAATTTTGCCTTTTTTTTTTTTTCCCCCTTTGAAGCCTCCCTTACTTGTCTCTTTCTACTGGAGCAGCTCAGAATAAGAACTTCTTTCTCCCCAAGAATAGCTGCTGCCCAGAAAGGCAGCAGAGCGCCTCAGAAACCAATGATTGACAAAGCAGGGAGTCCTGTCTCGCTTCAGGATTTGTTTCTAGCTTCATCCCCTTGACTCTGTAAGTAGCGCAGAACAGTAGCAAAGGAAGATTAAAACCAAGCAAGAAAGTCTTGGCAGTGCACAGAGAAGCCAGCTTAGGGAGACGAGTCGGAATATGAACAAGATGGCGTAGATCTGGCGATAGCAGCTCGGAGCAGCCACGTTCCAGCTGCTCTCCCTGCCCAGCAGTGCAGGAGGGAAACGCTAGAACCGAGCAACTGCTCGTGGTCCAGGATGGAACTGACGCTGAAACTACACAGTCCGGCGCGTCAGGCTCTGCACGGCTGCGTTCTCCCCTTGCTCTGGCAGCAGCGGGGGCTGAGACACCCTTCATTTTAGAAGCAACGGCAGCAGCTTCGTCCTTCAGTGGTTCCTTTTTCAAACCTCCTGTGTTGGGATCTCAGCTGAAGGTGGTTGCTCCTGTATCTTTACGAAGTCATGCCTGAAGGACGCCCTGCTGCTGCGCTGAGGGGTGCAGAGTACTCATGTGCCAAGGCAGCTCGCCTTGCTTTCGGCTTACTGCTCCTCTGCTGCCGGCTGCGGTCTTAACACCGCTGCGCTGGTCTTCAATAACGGGCCTGGAACTGGAGAGGCAGCAGACAGTACTCCGCAGCTACCCTCTCCCAACCCGAGAGAGGCAGGAGGAACGATGTGCACACACGCCCCCCAGCTCGCTGCAAGCCCATGGCCTGCGCTGCCTGGCTTGGATGAGCTGAAAGTACACCTGCGTCTCTTCATTGCCAAAAAAACCCCGTTTCGGGCAAGCACGCGCAGGCCAGGGCCGAGCCCCCAGCGGGGTGTTCTGCAGCCTGGCTGCCTCCTGAAGCATCCAGCACAGCTCCGCAACAGCACCTCTCGGTGGGCCGGACACCCCAGGCTGGCACAGTCCTGCTTGCAGCGAACGCGGGGCAGGCGAGCAGTGCTGAAAGCGTGTACCGGGGGAAAGTACCGCCCCAAGACCACCGCCTTTCTTGTACTGTTTACCACAGGAGCCGGATATCTGCTACCTGGAAAGATCTGAGCTCATCTCCGGTGACAGAAGCCACGGTGGAGCCCAGCAGACCCCAGGACAAAACTAGCACGACGTGATGCTGCGCTGTTGGGGACCCTCCTGCTGCCTGCGGATGAGAAGCCAGGGAGAGGCGAGTTACCGCCTTCCTGCTGCCTGCCCACCTCCCCTGTTCTGAGGCCGGAGCCACAGCCCTTTCGCAGCCAAAGCACAGAGCCACGTATGTACCCACGCAAGGAGAGGAGGACGCAGGAGCAGGTCCCTTCTCTCGTCTATTTAGCTTGTAAATTCTTTGGAGAAAGGGCTGCAGCTGGGTCTGTCTGCGCGGCATTTAGCATAATAAAGTCCTGCTCCTTGTTGCAGTGCCAGGTCCTTCTCAATGCCAGCAGCTTTACAGCCTCGCCGTCTTCCCAACTCCAGAGAGTTGTGCAGCTGGAAAAACCTATTATTTCCCATGGCAGCTCCTTTATTTCTGCCTCTACAAACAGTGAACGCAGTTAAGCCCCAGAAAACGTCTTGGGCATTTCATAACAAAACTTGCCCAGCTGGAGTTTGAAGCATTTAACTGACCCATTTCCTTTTACTTATTTATTTTTTTAAAATAAAAATCAGCCACCAGCTTGGGGCAACGCAAAGTTGTAACTTGCACCCTGACAGATTAGAGATGCATCCCACCGTGCTGTTTCCATGAGAGAACAGCTGGAAAGCTGACAGAGCAGCTGTCAGGCGTGTGACGACCACCCCCTCCACGTAGCATTAAAAGCAGGCGAGAGCGCGTTACAGCGGACGCGGGAGAAGACTGCATTTCCACGCGTGCAGTTAAAAAAAGTCACCTGGACCCCACGTGGCAGCAGCTCGTATACGGTGTGATGGAGTTAGCGTCAGCGAAGTTTGTCTGGGCTTAGAGAGGCCCCAGCTGAACTCCCGGGCGGAGAGCTGCTCCCCCCCTGCTCCCCGCCATTTTCTGTGGGACGATGGTCACACTCTACACCATCACTCGTAATAGACAAAGGAAAAATCCCAAAATCCTGTTCTGTTCGCATGCTTTTTCAGGCGTGCCAAGCTACGATGATTGATGTATTTCACAAACTTCATCGTTTCTTTGTCTCTATAGACTAAGGCCAAGCAGTTGTCCTCTGGGTTCACCGTCAGCAGCTAGAAGGAAAGAAAGTGAGAGGGGAAATTAGTTTCACAAAAATGGCTTTGATATCATTCCCAGGAAGAAACAAAACCGTTTCAAAAGCTAGTCAGAACAAAGGTCTGGTCTTAGAAAATGAACTATGTCACTATTTTCATTTTAATACCCCTCAGCCTGAAGCATTTATTAGACAGCAAGGGGTTCTTGACTTCTTATCAGCATGACGGCTCGGCGCTCTCGCTAGTACCGATACCAAACGTGACCCTAGCGAACAGCACCTCCCTGGAAAAGCATCGCCTCTGCTACAGCCTCGTGCCCGGCCGAGGCTTCCCAGACGCCACCAGGCGCAGGTGGCATGAGGCACTGTCCGGGCCCGAGTCTGAAGCCTTACGGTGAACGCTGGCCTCCTGAAGCTGAAGCCAGAGCTACGCCCACGAGCGGTAGTTCAGGCAGGAAGGCTCCACTGCGACACCGAGCACCCTCGGGATTACGTTAGCGTTTCGACAAAGTGTAATTATGCCTCACCACCCTCAACAATTTCATCTAATTTGCAGCTAGCGACTGAGCTCCTTACCTCTTCATCTTCACCTTTAGCGATGTAGGAAGTAAAGCCGCCATATTCTGGATCCCAGTCTTAAAATCAGAAAAGAAAGATTCTTGGAAAGTTCAACGCTGCCCAGGCTCCGTCCAGCCTTCCTGGAGATGCCGTTTTTCCACCCCGCTCCCCACAGTTACTGGATACGGGACCATGCCCCAGCTTACCTCCTGCCAGTCTATTTTATTTTGTTTTTTTTTTCCAAATCGGAAACAACTCGAAGCAAATGTACCAAGATTTGCCTTTTACCGCAGACAGGCAATTTAAGGTTGCTTGGCTCTCTGCTCCTCGCACGTAGAGCAGTTCTGCCTTAGCAGATCTGCAAAAGGCTTTCAGTTTACCGGCGTGTGCCGGGTGGTTTCGGCCGTGCATTCTGGGCTCAGCTGGTCCGAAAGGCTTACGTTTAGATTTTTGTTTTCACCACTATGTCTAACTAGCAATCAACCTAAAATGCCTAGACATGCCTAAAGTAACTTTTCAAAACCCCGGGCTTTGTGAATTGGAGGCGGTGATAATCTTGACGAGGAAAGGGGCGAAATGGCACGCTTTCCGCGGGTGTCGTGGCCACCCGAGCCTCCACCATGCCCAGAGCCGCTGCTTGGCGGGAGGAGAGGCCTGGGAGACGCAGCCTTTCCCTCTGCCCAAGCGCCACCTCCTGGCTCCAGCAGGAAAGGTCAAAGCTGATCCCAAGGCCGCAATCCCCAGTGTTTGTGTGAGGACTACTGAAACCAGGGCTTATGCAGACGCGCGGACTAGGAAAAAGTCTACAGGGCCCTTCTGTGTAGGAAAAAGCAGGGAAATTTTGGCTATTGTAGCACTGCTGAGAATTCAGAAGCCCTTCCGTTACGCAAACCTTGCAGGGAGAGTCCGATACCTCTCTTTTGTCCACTTACCCTCACAGCCACAGAAGAAGAGCAGGTCGAGAGCAAATTCTGTTGCTTGAGTGTCGTGGACCAGCGTATAGTGCCCGTGGGTCCAGCGCCTCAGCTCCCCTGCACACACAGGGGCACCTGAGCCTGGAAGGGGGAACAAACAAGCCAGGGAAAACAATGAAGCTGTACAATAGCTGACGCCCGCTGAGCTCGAGGCATGTAGGGGACGAGCCCCCGCACTGCCACACCACTGCGGAGCCGTCTTTGCCATCCCCAGCAAAGTGTGAAGGGAAGAAAAAGTAAAACCACACATCTCGTGTTGAACTTCTTTTCCGGAGGTGGCTCTAAGTGACGTCCTTTGACCAATGCGGAGGAGGGAGGCCAAGATCTGCTCTTTGAAAGGGGCCAAGCTGCGATGTGCGTTGGTTTAACCAGTTCCTCCTTTTGTTTTGGGTTTGTTGGGTTTTTTTGCCCCCCAGATTTACAGTAGCACTCCAAACTTCAAGAGCCAGCAACCTATCTGTTCTTGAAGTACTGAAACTACCAGACGCTTCAGCGAAGGACATTGCTCTGAACTCGCTCTCCATGCGCCATCCCAGGAGGAACGTCGGAATTTGGGGAAGCCGCTTCCCCCCCCGCCATTGCTTAGCTCAGTTTTCAATCCATGCAGCCCCCGGCTATGCCCTCCTCATATGCGAGTTTAAAATCACACGGCAGATAGAAGAGGCAAAATGACTAGCCGTGGAAATCAGAAAAACAAAGCCTTTGCAGCAGGCAAGTGTTCTGGTGGGATTTTCAGTAGGACTTGGGGTTTTTTATTACTTTTTATTCCAGTGTCCGCTAACTTGCCTGACTCAGCGCAAGATGAGCGTTTTCAAAAATTCTACCCTTAAACTTCAAAGCCACCGTTTTAAATAAACGGCACCAATTCATGAATCCAAAATGAATCTCATCTTTTATAGCAATGGTATCTCACTGCTGACAACTAAGTGGTTATTTAGGCTGGCAGCATTTTCTGAAAGGTTAAATCCTAGTTTTAGGTATTGGTTTTCCTAATTCTCTTTACTTCCGATCTGTTCACTTTCTTCCTTTTGATTTGGTCTCATACAAGAATCTACTTTATATGAAGCAGGAGCGTAACTACTGGCAAAAGACTATCGGGCGATTAATTAACACCCCCCTCCTCACCCATGCCTTCACTCCTCCAGAAGTCCCACCCTTAAGACTTAAGTCTGTTCAGAAACGGTATCTTCAAGTTAGTCATTATTTTATTCCCGATTCTTTTGCATCGGTCACTTATTTTGGACACCCAGTCTGACCTGCGCCAAGCCCCTGTTTGTGCTGGTGCCTTGTGCTGGCCGCAGTACAAGGTGAAATGCTAATTCCATGAGAATCATTGGGAATGCCGCTGCCAAGGTCAGGGTTCTGCTCAAGTCCTTTCACGCTGCTGCTGCTGGACTTACCGTTCTGCGTCTCACCGTCTTGTGCTTCAGGGATGTTGTCAGGCTGCTCCGGCTGATGGGGATTGCTATCGGCGTGGTGGTCAGTCTCTTCCTGCTCAGGTTTGGGACTGCTGTGCCCAGCGGCGTCTGCTGCTCCTCCTTCCCCAGCATCTTCATCCTCATCAGAGGGAGCCAGGAAGTGCAGCTTTAGGCCAGTGAAGTTGGAAAGCAGTAAAAACAAAGCCTCGGAGCGTAAGAACTGCAGGAATTTCTTCAGGATGTCAGGGAGGCTGTCTTCCTCTGCTGTCTCATAGAGTCTGAAAGACAGCAGAGGTATCGGCAGTGGAGAACCAACAAGGGCCACGTCCATGGGGGCAGCATCAACCAGTGCAGCCTCGTGGCAGTTCCTGCCTGGCCTGAGCAATAGGTGCAGGGCGCTGCCATTCCTCACCTTTTATTAGCGGGCCCCCGCCTACTCCACTGGACGTCTTTGTTCTCCAAAGCTTCACACAGTAGTTGGTATTTCTCTTTCTAGGAGAGAAAGACAGTGCAGAGACTTTAACATTTAGCTCCCAGGTCTCCCTTGGTGTGCTAGAAGCAGCCATTGTCTACCCTCAGAAAAAAAATTAGTGCCTTATCTAGCGTGTTTGAGGCGCCTCGGGACTGCTGAATTGAGGGGCGTAGCCTGGGTGGGCATCATGTCTTTGCAATGCCGGCGACCAACAGCTATCAAATGCTACTCGATTGTCTGCTGGGTGAGAATGGAGTTTCACTGAGATATGGACACTCAGTAAACCAGAGGTAAATCAGCCTTGAGAAGCAAAGCCTTTCGAGTAAGACAAAACCATTATGGGTCACTTGGTTCACACACAGGTGGAGTTCCCCAAGTGCTGCGAGAGCTTGAGGGACAGGGAAGGACGCTCCGGTCACCACAAGGCTAGGAAGCAGGAAGGATGACGTGTGTTTCCATCCTTCTCCTTTGCTTCTTGCAGGAGACAAGAACGTTGAAGGAAAGTGTTGGATTTTTGATGAGTCCCTGTGCAGCAGCGTGCAGGCAGGCAGAGGGGATCCACCCACAGAATCACAGAATGGTTGAGGTTGGAAGGGACCTCTCCAGGTCATCTGGTCCGTTCCCCTTTAGGGAGTGAAGCTAGAAGGTGCTTTAGTTGACAGCCGAACAGGCAAGCCCTTTCCCAGCCTGCATGACGTGTGGTACCTGTTCTGGCAGACCACGTCAGATTGAACCACTGGGCTCACCTTAAGAAAATCCTTCAGGAGAATTTCTGATCGCTCCTCAAATTCCTCCTGGATTTGAGCTTGGGAGTCCATGTCCAAATAAACTAGATTGATCCACTCATACAAGATTTCATGCTGGAAAGGAAATGGATTTGAATGCTGAATTTGCAAAAGTAAAAAGGATTCCCCAATTCCCCCTTACCCAGCTGGCCACAGGGCTGGATTCCTCCCCCCACACACTCCATTCCTTCCTTTTTTCTTTTTTTTTAATTGCACCACGAGTATTTGCTGCCATTCTCTGCACTATTGTAGGCATGCAAAACGTACAGAGTCAAGAAAGATACGCAAGAAAGAAACCAGCTACAAATTTATGGACAGGAAACAACAAAGAGACTGGGGTAAGTTAAAGAGGAAAGCATCCCCAAGCACCTGGTATTCCAGGGACATGAAAGAAGTAGAAATGCAGATAAGCAGATGTAGGCCTGTTACTCACGTCGTAGGGGACGTGTGGGCTCCTGGGCAAGGGAGCTTCCATGCGGCGTGCAGGTCTGACTGTGGACGGGCCGTGAAACCAGCCGCTCACTGACAAGCGGCACTTCTCCTCAGACAGAACTTCTGACACCTGGAACAACGTTGAGCAGCATGTTACTGTTTAGACTACAAAACACTGAAGGACCAGCTGTAACAGGCACCACGTAGACTCCTCACAGGAGACGGACCTGACTCCGGGGAGCCTACTGCATACGCAGGGAAGTCAGGCAAGGGCTAGACCAGGCTGGATTATTCTTGGCTTACAGAAAGAGGGCTTGAAGCACACTCTGATGCTCAAGTCCACTGCAGGTTTCCAGAATCCCAGTCCGAGCTTTTACTCCAAGCTCCCAGCAGAATCCATTCTCTCTCTCTGAGAGCTTTGAGTTATTCTGTTATTAAAAGTAATGATATTTCAGTTTTCTACCATTTGTTCTGTTGAAGAACCAGCTACCATAGGCTGCAAAAATTATCTGTCATGGGTTAATCTGGGAACTCAGAAAACACTGAGCATCTGTGGGCCACAGCAGACCACATCAGCCTACTTTTTTGTCTTTTAATTTTTAAAAAGTGCTGTAATACAAGCCATCATGAAGGGCATTTGCCTGACGCTTTGGGCTCTGGATTAAAGGTCTACCTATCTGTCAGACTAAGAGCAACCCCTCTGTCCTGGCATTTAAGCTGGTCTGTGGAAACCCTTGGAAACGGTTAAATTGTGATTTCATCAGATGGTGCACTGCGGTAAACTGGGCTAAACTGAACAATTTCACATTCTAGGGTGCTGTGCTGTAATGGCAGTGTGAAGAGAAAGCCATCCCCTTATGACTGCTTGCAAGCCACAAACTGAATTTTTGAATAGCACATAAAGACTTTGCACTGGGGGTTTTTTGTTTGTTTGTTTTGTTTTTTTAGAACAGTCTGATGGAACAGGAGGAAGACACACAGTCTGTTCCGAAAAGGTTTTAGCTCTTATTGTTACAGAGCTGTAGTGGCCCTTTCCTTGCATGACTCAGGGGTGTTCTAGGTTATTTGGAATGGCTACTGAATCCTAAATCACTTAGGAAATGAAAACCAGAAATCTGCCTGCCCTTGGAAGCTCGTGGACCTGCTCTGCTCAGCAAACATCCACAGCTTTGTTACCTCCCGAAGAAGCGTACACCGTGAAGTCCAAAACCTGAAGTTCTATTAGGAACTACTGACTAAATACTCTTCGCCCCATGTCCGAGAGGGCTTTAAGGCTGGCACGTGCTGTGAAGGCTTCGTATCAGCCTGACCCTTACACAGTCCTCTAATGGTAATTCGCAGGCTCTACGCTTTACTGACGAACGGGTCAAAGAAATGATTTAGTGCTTCAGCAAATACTCTGGGCACAACCAGTGAGGTCCAGATCTGGGAGGCTTTGATTCACAGAACTCCCAGTTAAGCTTAATGCTTATTTTAAAAATAAGTTTATTATTTAAGCTGAGGTTATTGCCTGTGCTAACAGTATCGGAGGCAGGACTCTGAATAGTGCCAATGCGTGGGATTAAGCGTAGGTCAGTAGGAGGCAGTCACAAGGTTAAGTGGAACATGGATTTTTATGACAAGATTAAATCACTACCTGAAAACAATTAGGGCAGTGACCAAATAGATGTTTCTGTTAATTAATTAATTGTGAGACATAAATAACAGAAAAGTAAAGCCCTGAGCTGTCTAGGTGAGGACATGCCTGACCTACATCACTGATCTTCTTCCTCTCCAACCTTCTGCTCTTTGGCCCTGTTTGTTACGGTCCGTGGTATTCTCAAGCACGCAGCAGTTTCCGATTCCAGTCAGGTGTTTGCATCATGCAGTTCCACAGATTATTCATCCTGTTTCCAGCCATCTTCCTGGTAAGTGCCCCGAAGTGCCCCGTAACCGTATCAGCGTTTCTACTGTAGGGCACCACGCTAGGTCTATGTTACAGAAGCGGTATGGCCATGTCTGCATAGCGCCCTGTTGGCAAGGCGATGTGCCGAGGAGCTCTTCTGGAGCAAAGTCATGGCATCTGCATGAAAAATGTGAGCTAGCGTAAAACAAGCAAACAAACAAAAAAATCCCTCTTGTCACCACAGCCAAATCCACAGCAGTGGCTTGCCAGGACAGCAACACAAAACAGAAATGGAAGTTTCCTCCCCTCAAGGCGATGACGCTAGACTGACAGTTTAAAGCTGGACTTGTCAGTTCTTTGTCCTCCTTGAAGTCCTGCCTTTAACACACAGCACTTAGCACGAGTTACTTCTCCCTTTCCCTTCTCCCTCCCCATCAGGACTGTAACAACACACAGAGTGAGTAACCACAACAACGAGAACCAGAACATGAACAAGAGACAGCTCCTTGCCTGGTGGAAAGAGACTGGCGACACTTCAAAGAAAACCAGCGTGTTCCACGAAGGCACTAGCGACTTGACGATTTGCTGTGGCTGAAAGTGTTCTGAGGAGGAAGAAAACATACTCTGGTTAAGATATGAACTGGAACTCTCTAGAAACTGCCATTTCTCTCTGACTTCATGATGTTGCGACTGGCGAGACACCTGGGTCTAAGGGACGGTGCTCAGAGCAAGGCCTTGTCGAGGAATCAGCAGGCTTCTGTTGCTGGAAAGGGACATTATCTCCATCGCTTTAGAGTTCCAAGCATCACCTCCAGCCTGCCTCCACTCTCGGCCCTTGCAAAAAAGCGGGGGGGGGGAAAAAAAGATTCCCCTCTTCTTTACCTTCTCCCTTTTCTCTACCGTCGCCCATTAGCATTGCAGTAGCAAAGACTGCTACAGCCCATCTCTAAGGTGCAAATTTTACTTGTATATCAGCTTCTCCGGACTAAGGAGAAACTCTTTATTGTACTGTTTGAGGAGAGAGTTGCTGCAAGGGGCGCATAAGCTTCATCTTTTTCAGCCACCCGAGGCTGAGCTCCGAGCGCTTACCATCTGTGCTATACAGGTCCAGCGTTCCCCCGTCGCTTTCCTCCCAGGGTGGCACGAGGTACAGGATGAAAGCAATCCTCCGACCTTCCAGCTCGTCATCGTGGCACAGCAAGACATCTGCAATTACACACGTTTCGCTGCTGTAGCGCCTTTCCAGTACACGCAGGATTCATTCCCATGACTGCTTCCCAGCTTCGTCCCCGCAAGGATACAAGAAGAAAAAACCACGCCCTTTCCAAGAACTGCATTTTCACTCCTCGGCATCACCAGCCCAAGATTTGCAAGATTAACTTCTGCGGGATTGCACCGCAACCGGCAGATTAGCCCACCCTGAAGGTACAGGCAGTTACAACTCGTCACCCACCCCTCCGCGGCTGCCACTGGGCACAGTGGACAGAGATTCCTGACTTAAATGACGATTCAAGCTCTGACTCCTAAATACGGAGCTGCCCTTTGAGTAGGCTGGTTGCTGGAATAGAGGGGAGGGGGAGCCCTGGGAACAGAAAAGCTGGACCACCAACTGGTTGTGCAAAAGGCTTTTTAAAAGTACAGCTGACAGCAGTAAAAATTTTCCCCCTTCCTACAGTGATTTTCCGGGACTAAAAGGGTAGGTGCAGTTGTAAGCTGGACTCACCAAGGTGACGTTTTAGCATCAGGCTTCACAAACTCAACTGTAGCATTTGGAAGCCGAACACGTCACCCTTTTGCACGGAAGCAGGCGTGCAAACACGGGCTGCACATCTCCAAAAAGGTGGGGGCTTGCAACGGCACTGGGCCCAGTTAAAGCCACCAGCAACGGAACTACAGCAACAGTATTTCCCTCGTTTGTACTTTGTTTTCCGAGACTTTGATTTGCTGCTGATAGCTTCTAGGACCCTCTGGAACTAGAAAGGGGTTGGGGTGGGTTACGTACTTAGGTATTCTGTAGACATTTCCTTTCCTACACACCTACAGAAGCTTTAGGGAAAGGGTCGCTTATAGACTGACCAGTATATTCGTATTTAGCACAGGAGATGTCAACGGTGGGCTCCAGCTCGATCTGGGTCACAGCAGAAAGCCACGCTCGGAATTCTTCACACAGGGCATGCCTGTGAAGACACACACGAGGTAAGCATCCTCCACCGTTATAAAACATACGACTACAGCCTAAACTAATTTATTACCTCCCTTCCAACTATTTAAACAGTGAAAGGTGCTGTTGCGGCCGGTGAGGGTGCATTCCCGTAGAACCACGCAGCGGCCGGCCAGGAACACAGCACGGCATTTACAGCACGGCCGACAGTAACCAGCAGCGAGCGTGCCATCAGCGGCAAGGGGAACAGGTCGGCGCTTCAGCAGTGTCGGACACCCGAGGGCCGAGCCGGGTC